AAAAACTCTAGAAAAAAAAAAAAAAAAGGTGTTATTTTAGCAGGCACAAACAGAGTTTTAAAGCCACCCCAGATGACCTCCCAGAGATGCTGCAATCCCAGCGTTTGTGAATGGAATCTGCACCACTCCTCCGAGAATGGCACTGTGCCATGAACTTGTCAACTAAAAGCATTACAGGCTCTGAGCTCTTTAATGCACTGGGCTGGAAGCTACACATTTCTACTCTCTTCGTGACACACCTTTCTGGGGGTTATTTCTACCCAAAGGGATTTTTTTTCTTTTTTTTTTTAACCCGAGGCAATTCCTAAGATGCCTCTTCCAGCAGAGTTTCTCAGCCCATGCCCTTACTACAGCCCCCCCGAGCCACGTTGCTTTAGCTCATGATTAATTATCACTTTGGGATGAGGATGATGGGGTTTTACAGCTCCCCAAGTCATCTTTTATCAAACTCCAAGCCCGTGTTTCTCTCTCAGCAGGCCTCATTGCCATGGAGATCCCATTACCCCCCAAAGGAAGTTCAGAACTCCGTGGCATTCGAGTCAAATCGCGTTGGGGTACTTGCAGATTCAAAACCTTCTGGCTGCCAGGTTTGAAAGTTCATCAGAGCAGTAATGAATAACAACAAAAAGTTACTACTGAGCCTGCAAATTCTTGGTCAGAAAGAGATAGCTGATCTCGTTGCAGAGGGAGAAAGGAGTACCAGCTGTATTCAGGATGAAATTATAGGATTTAAACTGTCACATGAGCCCAGCTCTGCAGTGCCATATGTGAAGCACATGTACTCAGATTGTTCTGAATCTCTGCAGCTCTTTCTGAAGTGCCAGTCCCTTGACAGAAATATTGAAATCACTTCCTAAGTGGCATTTGAACATTCAATATTTAACATGGCACTCAAAGAGTTAACTTGACAGTGACGGGACGGATCCTTTAAGCACATTCGACAAACAGCTCTGTCAGGTTACACCAAAACTTGGCAGGACGTGAAATATTTTCTAGCAAGTAAGTGAAAATAAGTTCTCCGTGGCACTCAGTTAATGCAGCTATTCACGATGCTGACGGGCTACAACAAGCCAGGGATAAAGAACAAAGCAAACCTTAATCAAAATTAACCTAAACACACTGGAACGAGCTGTAGGTTCAACGTTAACCTAAACACGCAGAAGGAGCCCAAAGCCAGAGAACAGTGCCCGCAGTTTCTCCCCGGCCAATCTTCCCCCGCAGGATCTTCACACGCTCCTCGGGAGCGCCCAGCATTTACCTCCGATCACCCCCAGCGCAACACCCCGGATTCCTTAAATAATTGCTCGCAGATAAAAGCTCTGCGAGCCGCTCGCCGCAGCAGCTGCACAGGCAGGTATTGCAAGGGAGCTTTCTCCTCCTTTTTTTTTTTTTTTCTTTTCTTTTTTTCCCCCCCCGCCCTCCCTTTCCCTTCGCCTCGCACTTTTGCCCCGGCGAGTACAAACGTGCCGCAGCCTCCCAGAGGCTCCGCGGGCTTTGTGGCGAGGCTGATGGAGCTCCCCCCCGAGCAGAAGGGTTCTCTCCCCGCCGCCCCGGCCGGGGGATGCTGTCCCCGAGCCGCTCCCGGTACTTACTGCCGGTCCCGGGGCTGTGCAGCGCTCAGGCTGCCCAGGGCGAGGAGCAGCGCGCAGGGCCCGCAGCGGGACATGGTGCCGAGGGTGCTGCGGGTGCCGCTCGGGGACGGGCAGCTCCGGGAGCCTTTTGTTCGTGGCTGAGAGCAGCCCGAGCCTCTGCCGCCCGCACCCGGGCTCGGCTGGGCTCTGCTGGGCTCCCCGGTGCCTCTGGCCGCCGCCCCCACCGCGTCCCCGCCCCCGGGCCGCCCCCTCCCGGCCCCGGTGCCCGCTCGGCCCCGGCTCTTTGCTCTTTGTCTGCCGTTCCCCCGCCCGCTCCTGACAGCGGGGCCCGCCCCGCACGGCCCCAGGTGCGCTCCAGCCCGGCCCCGCACGGCCCCGCACGGCCCCGCACCTCCGGCAGCGCTGACAGCGCCCTGTCCCCGACTGTCCCCGACCGTCCCCGGGGCTGCTGCGGCATCGGCGCCTCCGCTCCCCAGCCCAAAGCGCCCCCGGAGACCCGCCCGAGCTCCTCCGCCTTCCTCCCGAGCCCCTGAGGAGCCACGGATGCCAAAGCCGAGGTTCCCAAGATCCAGTGACCCGGCACGGTGCGTTCCCGGTGGCTGAGCCTCTGCACGCCGAGGGACTCACTGAGCACGACCAAAGAACTGCTCCCCAACCCAAACTCCAGCGCCAGCACTGATGCTACTCCGGTTTTTTTACAGGATTTTTTTATCCTCCTCCATCCCTAGGCCCGAGTCTCTCCATCTCCATCCCTCTGTCCAAGCCGGCGTTTCCAGGCTCTGGGGACAGGAGAGGGAGCTCTCCCTGCACCAACCTGAAGAGTCGCAGCCCAAGGGTAGAGCTCACCCAAACCGGGGCAAAGCAAACCCAAAGCAAGAGCAGAGATGCGAGGGGACGGGAGAAATGTCACCACAGTGATGGATTCAGTGCTGCATAGAGGTGACCAAGGGATGATCTGGAGGAATCATTCCTGCAATCCTTGTTGAGGAAAACACAGGCACACACCAGGATCCCAGGCATGCTCCAACAGAGAGGAATTCTTGCCCCAGCAATAAATGAAAACCCTCAATGTAGGCAGTTTGTTTCCCCCAACATGTTTCCCCCCAAATACTACACATCTGGCTTAAGGTGAAGTACCAGGAAAACAGAAAAAAAAAAATTCAGTCCTTTCTTCTAGGTTGGCTCCAATATTTGATCCTCAGTTTTTTATTTCTTCTCAAAATCACAGGTATGGACCTCAGCATTTCATTGAGCAAAAAAAACTACACATTTGTAGCCAACACAGCTCAAGAGTTTCCCAAAGTCCCTTCCTTCTGGCTTCTGAGAAGAAAAAGAGCAAGTTGCTAAAGCTGCTGTTATTTTTCTCCCTCTTTAAATAATTTCAGCTGCCACATATTTCTGCACTGTCATTCCTAGCTGCCACATTTTCTGTAAGTCAATCCATTCCCTAAAAGCACAAAGTCATCAAAAGGAACAAGGATTCCCTGACAACTTCAGCAGCAGGACTCAGAGGCTGATCAGTCCTTAACCAGGAGATAAATAAATGGTGCCTAAATTTTTATCTTACTTGAAACTTACAGTCACTTTAATATGTCTGCTCTTTAAATAAAATCATTAACTCAGTAGGTTTTTGATAAATTCAGATTATTTTCAATAGTGGATAACACTGCTAGTTTTAAATTTTCCTACTTAAATCTAATCTAAACCAGCCCTGTCTTATTTTTGTGGAGAGGCAGAACAAATCTAGAAAAAGAATGAACACATTTTGACAAATTAGACAAGATTAGACTCTAGAACCACAGGGATCACTTCCCGAGGAAACCAGGCACTGTGAGAAGGAACTTACCAGAAAGTACATTAAAGTGGGCAAGTTTTAGGTTTGGATTTTGTTTGTTTGTTCGGGGTTTTTTAGACAAACTAAAGAAAAAGCAAAGTCTGCTAAATCCAAACTCTTTTTCAGCTTCACCACATTAAGCACCCATCCTGTCACCCACATTTCATCTCTGAGAAAGCTCTGGGTAAGGACTGGGAAGAAGCAACAGGATTCAGCAGTGGATGGGTGAAAGCAGCAAAGTGCAGCTTGAAAATGGAGCTCCATCATCTTCAGGGTGATACACAAAGGTGTATTTCTACATTTCAAAAGGCACAGCTGGAAATTCCCCTTCTGTGGAACAGAGCCCTTTGGGATCATTAACTTCCTCTAAGGTGAGATTTCTTCTGAACTGAAGAATTTCTGTTTGGTATTTACTGAGTACAAGAAACCTCAGGCAATTACAACCTCCAAAGGCTGCAAACCATCTTCCAATTACGAAAGTATGTGCAATCCTGTAAATAAGGCCGGAATCAGCTTCATCTGAAAAAAAAAAAAAAAAAAAAAAAAAAAAAAAAAAAAAAAAAAAAAAAAAAAAAAAAAAAAAAAAAAAAAAAAAAAAAAAAAAAAAAAAAAAAAAAAAAAAAAAAAAAAAAAAAAAAAAAAAAAAAAAAAAAAAAAAAAAAAAAAAAAAAAAAAAAAAAAAAAAAA